TGGGCTATTTACAGATTAGAGATCTGTTTAGAGCAGATAAAAAAATGTATGGTTTTAGAGAAGAGAAAAATGAAATTGAATCTGTGTGGGAGAATAGAGGGAGAAAAATGATTTCTAACATGTATAAAATCCTGTTAAAATGGTATACAGAAGATGAGACGGTTAAAGAGCAAATGCTTAAATGGGCTCTTAATATGAATAAGGAGGTAACCATGACATCTTGGGAATATTTGTGGAAAAATGCTATAAAAATATCAACATGTACCAATATTAAAGAAAACTGTTATAAAATGATGTATAGATGGTATATGACACCGAAAAAGATAGCAAATATGAACCAAAATATGTCAAACAAGTGTTGGAAATGTAAAAAAACATGAGGGCTCATTTTATCATATGTGGTGGACATGTGAAAAAGCGATAGATTTCTGGTCAAAAATTCATTGTGAAATGCAGAAAATGTTTAAGTGTAGTTTTAAAAAAGAACCAGAGATTTTATTGTTAGGATTGAAAATGGAGGAGTTAAATATTCAAAAAAAGACTATGTTCTGGTACCTGATAACGACGGCGAGAATGGTGTATGCACAATGCTGGAAACAAGAGAAAACGCCCGAGATCTCAGACTGGATTCAAAAAGTGTTATTTATGGCAGAAATGGACAAAATAACAAGAAAGTTGAGTAACAAAGAAGATCAAGAATTTTTTGAAGACTGGAAAGATTTTAAAGACTATCTAGAGGAAAACTGGGATGTTAAACACAATTTACTGTATCTAGAACAATATTGATAGAAGTGTTATCTTTAACTTTTAAGCAATTTTAAAATGTTTAAGCAAATATAAGTATTGTAAAGGGAAAAAGGGTTGAGCACTGCGGGAAGCCACTTGCAAGGGAGGGGGGAAAGGGAAATATGGGTATTGGATAAATGAAAGTCAATGTTAAATGTGATATTATATCCAAAAAATAAAAGTTTTGTTCAAAAAAAAAAGAAACAATTAGGAGGTAGAGCCTACATTTATTGCTGCTACTCCCTATAGGGGCAGGAAAAGAACGAAAGGGGCGGGTTATTCTGAAAGAGCCAAAGGAAAGAAGAAAAAAGTATTTCCTGTCTCCCTAATAGAATGATGAGAATAACCCACAGAGATGTCCTCCACCTCAGAGGGAGAATCGAACTTTTACCCACTCATTTTATTTTATTGAGATCTGATGTTTTTTCTTTATTATTTAACAATAAACAGAGCATTTCACAGTTCAGAGAAAGAAGCTCAAGCCACTTTCTTAAAGCATTAGCAAAATATGCGTATTAATAAAATATAGGATTGATTACATTTTACTTGATAAAATGGCATTATTTACCTTGAAATGTCTCCCCAATACCATTCTGCATCCTGTAGTGAAGAACTGCAATTCTCTTTTATGACATTTGTATTTACTGTAGTCATTGGTTTGGAGGGCTTTGGAGGAAGAGCTGGAAGAGAATTTTTGCTTGTTAACATTTTGAAGTTTCACAATAAAAGTACAAAAGTAACACTATGAATTCAAACAAGGGACTTCACATTAAGTTTAAGCAAGGCATATTATACCATACTAAAGACATCAGACTAAAGAGAGGAGAAATCTTAAAGGCACATTTTACTAGCATATATTAGATTAGTAGTAGAACCCAGTTATTTGTCAAGAGATTAGAGCTAAAGTTATAGCCTGCTATAAGCAATGCAACTATCCTGTATGGAGGTGGATGCTTAAACCTCACTATATTTCATTAGTGCTGGTTCACATCCCTGCACCACCTCAGTGTGTCCAGAAGCTTCTGCTTGATGCAGGAACAAACAGCTCCAATGATTGATACAATAACAAAGCCTTCTGTCAGCCTCCACTACTTACTTGCGGGGAGGGCGGGATAAAAATATCTAAATAAATAAATAAATAAACTTATCCTAGTCTTTCTAGCAGTGCCTGAATTCCTTCTCTCTCCTTTTTGCAGTCTGAATAAGTCATTTGTTGTTATCTTAGATGCTGGTGGAAGAGCTAGAACAGGGTTCTCTGGTTTCAGAACTCAATGCTGTTGGAGGTGCATGGGCACTGGCTCCTCTGTGACCCAATCACAAGAATACATAAATGCCAAAAAAACAAAAAAAGAAGAAGCCATGACACACCCACAACTTGGTCTGCGAGTCAACCTTCCTTCTAGTACTAGGGACTCTGCAAGCAGTGCCACTGACGACCAGAAAGAAATCCAGTGTAAGAAAAGGTGTTGTGTTGTCTTCCTCTTATGGCTGAGACAGTATTCTGGGTCTGGCTAGGGTTGCCAACTCTGGGCTGGGAAATACCTGAGATTTTGGAGCCTAAGGAGGGCTGGGTTTTGGGCATAATGCCACAGAGTCCAACTTCCAAAGTGGTCGCTATCTCCAGGTGAAAAGATCTGTCGTCTGGAAATGAGTTGTAATAGCAGGAGATCTCCAGGCACCACCTGGAGGCTGGCAACTCTAGTCTGGACATTTGCAGCTTGCACCTTTCAGAATTTGGGGAGGGGGCATAGTTCAATGGTAAAGCATGCATAAAGTTCAATACTTGGCTTCGCCAGTAGGAAAAATGAGATCAGGTAAACATGACGAAAATGATTGCCAGACAGAGTAGACAGCACTGGCTTTGATGAACCAATGGTCCGTTGTATGTATTCAAAAGCAGGAAAATTGGAAAAGACCTTACACAGACATGGCCAAGCAAAGGACTGAGGGAACTGGATTCGAAGCCAAGTATAGGTCAGCAGAGCAAGGGACTCCGATCTGCGGGTCTGGGTTTCTCCTCATTGCTGTTGCTTGCAAAGTGCTGCAGCACCAATGTTTCTTCCAAAGGGCAATATACAGTTCCCGACAGCTGTGGAGCTGGTAGCAGGACTGCTAAGTATTTAACGCACAGTCACACTTGTTTAGATTCAACTTTTTATTTGACTCTTAAGCATCAAAGGTTCAGTTCTACTCAAAGTCCCTTTTTCTGGTGCTGATAGGAGCCTTAAAGTCCTGAGTCTAAGTGATTTATGTGGTAAAAGGAGCTGAATCTCTCCCATCTGCTTAACTAAGAAGATTTCAAAAAAACTGAGAAGAGGAAACCAGCTTTTCCCAGGTAAAGGTATCAAAGGAAGGGAAGGCTGTATAAAATCAATCAGGAAGGCTACTCCTAACCAGCTGACCTTAAGGTTACCAAAACTACATTTCCCACAATCCCTTATGTATTTAAAGATGCAGAAAACAATTCCCTATATTTCACTATTCTAGCCTCTGCTGGGGGCTACACAGGCAATATCACAATGGAAGAAATCAGAATGCAGCAAACTACCATACTAGGCACAATATGTAACAGCCCTTGCACAGATGATATGGTTACCAAAAGACTAGAAGGACCTTTCTGGTACTTCCAGTGAACAAAGGTGAGGACATTAGCTGGAGAAAGAGTAAGTGAAACATTTCCCCTTTCATCCAGTACCTCCGGTGACAGAGGAGCAACTTCATTCACATTTTTATCTCTAGCATACGTGATAGGTTAATCATCTGCTAAAATTTATTTGCTTCCAACATGCCTGCCACATTAAAGTTCAAATGATGCACTAACTTAAGTTTCAAATGCTACTCAATACAGCAAAGTGTTCTCCTCAATAACCAGCAAACACTGGATCAAGCCAATTTAAACGATCCTGAACTTTGACCTAGACATTCACACACTGGGCTGCTGATCAAACATTAGATTCAGTTAGCAGCATTCATTCTGTGGTACAGAGAAATCAGATTTCAGGATACAGGGTTTTTGGAAGGTGCTACTCAAAATACACAGGTGCAAATGGCCTTCAGGGCCAATGTCAATACACCAGTAAAACCGCCTAGAGTTTTGCTTGCTTTTGGAATGCAAATTAAATCAGAACTGTATGCATAAAACAGAAGTCCTCCCTCCACAAAAAGTCAGTTCTGGGACTGGGCCAACTACTTTACACACACACGCGCGCAACTGGGCATGCAAAGGAATTGTGCAGCCTGTCACCAATCATAGCACTACCTTCACTCACAATACAACAACTGAACTAAGAGTCCCATTAGGTCTGTTCCCATTGCCAGCTACTCAGAATTTTTTTTTTAAGCCCACAATGATGCCTATGGTGCCACATCAGTTTTGGTAAAAATCTGGAAATGACACAGTGAGGCTCTAGTTTTACCACAAAGTTCCCAGCAATTCCTAGAGCTTCCTATATCATTTTGTGTGTTTTTTTAAAAAATCATGTGATGTGGTACTGCAACCATCATCACATCCCTCATATCCTTGCCAACTAGGGCTGCCAAGTGGGGGCCGGTGGCGGGTAAACCCCCGCTTCGGAGGCCCGATTTCCACCGCCGCGGAATCGGGCCCCGGGGGAACTCCGCCCCCCAAAGCGCAGCGTGGCTGCGTCACCGGAGGTCACGCAACCACGTCAATCACGTTGGGGGCGTGGCCCTGATCATTGGAGGGAAAGCTCTCTGGTTTCCCCTCCGACGATCGGGGCCATGCCTTCAACGTGATTGACGTCGCGCGTCACTTCCAGTGACGTACTGGCGGCGCGCGCACATCGAAGAACGGCTCCCAGAGCCCGGCGAGGCTCCCTCGCCGGTAAGAAAATTTGACTTGGCAATCCTATTGCCAACAGCTGCCCTGCCAATTGTCACACACTGCTTGACAACTCAAAATTGAGCAGGAGGGGGAGGGAACAGGGCTGGCAGAAAACAGCATATTGAGTTTTAGCAACAGTTTTTGAAATTGACTTTTTTTTAAGTGTCTGAAAATCGAATCCAGACTTTTCTGAGCAACTGCAATATGCTTGTACATCCAGATGAAGACAGTTTTATAAAGAGTGAATACCCCAAGTTCCTACCCTGACAGTAGGGTGGCCAGGTTCCCATCTATATTATCCAGACTACAAGAGGGGACCCTCAACAAAATGTTGCGTAATGTGTTGTGGCTTGGTTTAACTTATAATTGCAATGTAGGTTTTGTATACTGTCAATCTCCCCTACAAACAGTGTTATTCCTTCTCTGTTTGTCTGTACCCTCAGCCCAGGGAAGGCGCAAGGCGATCAAAGCCTCACTCCTGTCAGGAGCAGTAAAAAACTGGAGCCTTGCCGCCATTCCTCCAACACTGCTGTCCGGTGACCAATGCTCCCTCGAAGCTGTGGAGTCCTGTGAGCAAAGATTCTACTCTGTGAGCTCCTGGAATTAAAGTTCTGAGCGAGCAATTGGGCTGCTGCATAAATTAGTTTGCTCTGGAGCCATCCTTCCTGAGCCAAGGCAAAAATGTGTGAGCCGGAGGCTAAGAAACTGTGAGCTGGCTCACACCAACTTAGCTTAGAGGGAACACTGCCGGTGACAGTGACTAAATGCATATACTCCTTGTCATGAGACAGAGTGGGGACCATGGTGGGATATCCGACGGGTATCACCGCTCACTCGATTCGTAGTGCGGCCACCATCACGGCCTTCTCGAACAGAGCTTCGGTGGAGGAAATCTGCAAGGCTGCCACATGCTCCTCGGTTTTGACCTTCATTAAACACTACATTATCAACGTCTTTGATTCAGCAGACGCTGCTTTCAGCCAGAGAGTTTTGCAACAGGTCATGACAGAGTAGATGAGGACACACCCGAAGATTACGGACACTGTTCTAGGAGGTCCCAGCAAGATGTCCTCCTCTCAAAGGGAGAACGGGCCATTGGTACTTACCGTGAAGGGTCCTTCTCCTCTGAGATGACGGAGGACATCTTGGGCCCTCCCATCTCATCATCAACTCTGTCTGTTCTATTTCTTTCAGTGCTAATCTCAACTTTCCTGTTCTCTTGATAGTTTTTCAAGTTTGTATTATCATGTTGGTTGAATTTTCCAGTTATTTAGCTAGTTACTGCTTCTCGGAGTTCCTAACTGAATTCAGGGGCGTGGTCCCACCAAGAGGACAGGAAATGAAAGTTTGGTTCCTGCCTCCCTAAGGATAGGGTGGGAAACACCCAGCAAGATGTCCTCCTTCATCTCAGAGAAAGACCCTTCATGGTAAGTACCAGTGGCCTGTTCTATTTCAGATTGAGGACAGCGTGGACCCTCCCGTGTCTAGGGGATTCTGGCTGCTCATGTGGGATTTTGAGTCCTCTAGTCCCACACATTTTATCCTATCCTCTACTGTTGTACAGCTTTCGTTAAACGTTTTCTCCTACAATGGGGTGCTGCTCAGCCTTGCCTCTAGTTGATCTTTTTTCAGATTAAGTTCTGTTGACTGCATTGAACAATGGCACACTTGGTGGTTTGCCAACGAAAGCTCTGGAAGCCACTTAACTGAAGGAATAAATGGTAACATACCAAAATGGGTTATCAGTGAGAAGCACTGAATTGGTTACGAGCATCAGCAAGTCACCATCTCAGATGCTAACAAGAGTCGATATGGGATTCCATGCAAAATCCTGCA